ATACCTTACTATGTGTTGTATATTGTGGATAAGTTTCATAAAATTCCATGTGTAATTTCTTGAGTTATCGCGATTTTTGTGAATTTTCCTTAATTTATGATAACCAGTGTATATCCTAAAAATAATTTATAAATGTTCAGATGTTTATTATTAAAAAGCCCTGCTAATTAAGTTCTTTTTAACCCCCAATTGTTTAATGAATTATAACATCACTGATTTATATTTGTATGCATTGGTAGCAATGAACTGTGAAGAATTACTGATTTTGCAAGAAAACATAACTCTAACTTATTTGAATTTGATGGTATGTGACAACAATCAAAAAATTAATCTGTCGATTTTACAATCTTAGTTTATCATATCTGGCATTCTTATCAGTTTTGAAGTTTCGTTTGTTTATCAGCTTATCGATTTTCAATAAAAGACGAGTAAGATCAAAAGTCCTGGTTCTAAATATTGGCTGTTAATATTCTCAATTCTGTATAAATTTTATGCATATAAAAACAAATTTAAAGTATATTACAATTGTTTTTTTAGATATATTGGAGAAATAAAATTAATGGAATGTTAACTAAACAATCATGTATGAATGTATAAAGAGGCTCATCTCTCAAGGAGATGAAGAATCACTTGAGTGCCTGTGTCAATTGCTGAAAACGAAGGGTAAAGAATTAGATGATCCAACTGTTGAAGGTTCAAAAGAAAGTGTAAGTGTTCTTTGTTTTAATTTTGAACAGTGCTTGTAGTGTGTCTACCACTACAAATATATAATTCCAATTTACTAGTATATAAGACATGTTAACTCGATTCTATAGAGGGGTAATTTTTTCATCGATGACATTGTCGATAGCTACCATCCCTGCAGTGCTTTTTCTTGTAAAAAAATGTGAGGATAAGTTTTCTTGTAAATAATATAAGTTTAAGAAGACAGCTTATCTTCAATTCAAGTACTTTTTGTTTTTGTAAAAGCTTATTAAATGCATACTTTCAGATTCATAGAACAATAAATCTTTATACAGATTAAAATCTTTATAGGATTTCTGAGAATCTTTTTAAGATTTTCTTTTCAATTTGGAGGGTTTCTAATAATTAGTAGTGAGTTTTAGATTTTAACAATATTTTTGTTATGGTTTGCATAAATATTAATTTGCAATGTGCCTTTAATTTTTTTTATTTCATTATTTGTGATGATTTTATAAATATAAATCCTGTGCAGTTGCAAGTATGGAAAATTACTATAATAATTCCACTATAAATTGTAACACAATGTACATTCAACTCTGCTTCTAATAAATTTTAAAGAATTACTGCCATACTTTTCTTCTGTAATCAATGTAATTGTGATATACCTAGCTAGCAGTACTGAATTTCTATTTTATAAAGTTTTTATGATAAGTTTGTTTCTTTTTATTGATAATGTAAATTTTACTTCACTATATTGTGACCTTGAATTAAATTATCTTATTTGAAAATCCAGACAGTTAAGGCATATATATGAAATAACGGTGGATCCACACCGATATTTTTTAGTTAATCACAAGTCAAAACAGCATGATTAATGAGTCCATGTTGTGCATAATCGTTTTTATTTAGTAGCGATGGTGAAAGCATACATCTCAGCCCCCTCCAAGCTGGAGAGGGGGGGGGAGAGCCATATCCCGTCTAAGCTGACGGATTTTAGTTAGGCATGATAAACAACAAAAAGCCACGCAAAAACATTGCTTCTCTCTTTTATACGATGATTAAAAAGTTGTGAAGAGGCAAGTCATTATTGCCTTTTCTGTATTCTTACGCCTCATCAAAATTATTTATTACTCATAGCAAATCGTTTAATCTTCCCTTATATGGAAGTGAAAGATCTTAAAATAACTTCTCTTTTGAAGTATAAATCTAATTATTATTCATTGGCTTGTTTTTAGCCTTGAGGTCCCAAAATAGAATTTATACCCTTATCCTTTACCAAAGATATTTTATGAAAACGTATGAAGTTTTAATGCTTTTATTAATACAAAAGTTAATTTTTGTATTACATATATATATATATACTAGAGGGCTCCGCCCCCTGCTCGCTGCAGCTCGCCAACCCCCGATAATTGCTACGCAATTACATTTTTGTTCGCTTCTCGAATCAACTTAAAGTCGTTTTGCTGGAGATAAGCTGGCAATTTTTCATCCTCCAACATCCCATAGAGCAGCGTTTCTCAACCTTTTAGTATTCGCGGCCCAGTTTTCAATCATAATTTTCATCGCGCCCCCCACTTGCAGTAAAATATATGCAACAATAATGTATATTGAGTATTTTTAATTCTGTCTTTAAATTATTTTTAACTAACTACCAAAACAAAAGTAAAGTAAAAATCAGCAGCAATTGAGATTGTAGAAACTATGTTTGGAGTTAATTTTTCAAAACAATTACAGTCCATACCTCTTTCAAATGATACTGTTGCTCGTCAAATTGGTGATACAGCTGAAAATGTAGTGTCAGCTTTTCTCGATGTTGCGTGACAAAATGTTTTCAATAAACTTTGAAGCAAGAGATATTAATAAAGATGCTCATTTCATTGCCTATGCTTGATTTTGTGATAATATGTCAGTAGTAGAACTACTTTTCTGCAAATCAATAGAACTCAAAACAACAGCGCTAGCATTATTTGCTATTTTAAATGATGTTATGAATGATGCAAACACAGAATGCAAAAATTGCATCGGAATATGCACTGGAATATGCTTGTTCAATATCCGGAAGGTTCGAAAGTATACAAGCACTAGTAAAACAAAAATCGCCTCAATGCGTCTGGACGCATTGCATGATCCACAGAGAAGCTTTGGGTTCGAAAGAAATACGTCCTGGTTTAAATATTGTATTAACTGCGGTTGTAACCATTTCAAATTATATAAAAATGAGAACCCTGAGATCGTGAATCTTTTCTGCTCTTTGTAATGACATGGGTTCAGTACATTCAGAGTTACTATTTAAATGTGAGGCAAGATGTTTATCACGTGAGAAATTTTTGCAAAGTGCTCATGAATTAAGAGAAGAAATCGTCATTTTCTTAGAAGATAACAGACCGGAAACCGGGAATTTACACCATTGTTTATTAGTGATGAAATTGAGATACTTGGTCGTCATATTCGAGAAATTAAATAACTTGAATCTTAAACTCCAAGGAGCAAATACACATATGTTGGATACGAGTGATGAAGTTAATGCTTTTTGTAGAAAATTAGAATTGTGGGGCAGAAATTTAAAGCAAAAAAACCTAACAATTGTTTGCAAATGTGGATAATTGTACTAAAACTTATAAGACTGAAGAAAAATATATGAAAGTTACGTTTGTAACCATTGAAAATCATTTAGCCATGCTGGCAAAGAATTTTAAAAAGTATTTTCCTGCTCATGACAAACTGCTAGCAAGTTATGAGTGGGCTAGGAATCCATTTCATAAGACTCCCGAAGGACTCTCAATTGATGAGGAAGAAAAATTCATAGACTTCACGACAAGTGGCGAACCTGAAATGCAATTTAGTAATAAATCACTACTATTTGAATTTTGGCAGGAGGAGGATTTTTCTGCACTGAAACAAAGGGCATTTCGCATTCTATTACCGTTTTGAATATCTTACCTTTGTGAAACTGGATTTTCTGCTGTGGCTTCTTTGAAGACAAAATATAGATCACGGCTAAATATAGAAACAGGACTGAGAGTGGCTATTTCTAATATTAAGCCTCACCTCAAAAAACTTTGCTCTGCCGGACAGACCCAAGGAAGTCACTAAAAATTATTAATTTTTTTTAAAAATTTAGTATGTTTGATTATGTAAGGTGGGTAAGCCAAAGGTGGCCAGTGCTCCTAACGTAGCCCCCCTCCCCCAAAGTAAAATGAAATTTATTTTGAATCATAATATGTCCCTTCTGCATTGTAAATCTTGTATCTGAGGTGCACGAGGCTGAATTGGAAGATATTTCCTTGAATGGCCTCCATTGTATGAAGTGATTTAATTATTTGCAGTTGTCGTTCTAATTTCCAGGTGAGAAGATAATATGTTTAAATTCTTAGAACTTTGAGTTATAATATGTTTTCTGAAAGTTTATTTCTTTTTCTTTAACCACATTACTTTAATTCGAATTAATCTATCAGATTAATAGTTTTATGTCGTGCAAATGGTAAGAGAGACCTTATGCATGTTCCCAAGTGGCGCGACAGTCGGGCCACCTTCGGAAGCAAACGTGAAATCTGTAAAAGAGTTAATTATAAATCATTACATAGCATATTATTTCTCAAAAAGGAATGCTTGAATTAAATGCCAATTGATTTATTTCATTTTAAGCAAATGTGGAACTTTGGTATTTTTTAAATTTTTATTATATTTTGACGTTCTCTGCACTTTAGTAGACTTTGCGATATTTTGTTTCAAGTTTTTTTTTGTTTTGTTTGCATTTTAAAGTTATTTTTCAGGTATTTTTCATTTTTGTGGTAGTTATGAGTGTTTTTGTGGTCGATTCTGGTATTTTCTTGCAAATTTGGGTATTTTTAGATTAGTTATGGGTTTAGTTAGTTAACTCTAGTAAGGTCATTTAACTCTTACTTGTTGGAAAATCCTTCTGAAAAAATTAACTCCATAATTCTTGATTAATTCTAATGAGTTAACTCAAAAGAATCGCTAGTGTCTTCACACATGAACTATCAAAGTAAAATCAATAAACAAATTATACACTCTGAAAACAAATATCTTTTTTAAAGTCGGGAAACTTGTTCCTACCAGCAAGACACTTAAAGTGCCTTTTTAAAAGAAGTTTGCCAGCCCAAGTGTTTTCTCTAAAGATAATTTGAGTAAGTGAAAAAGTGATTTCAAAACATTGCTCACCTTTGGAACCTGTGCGAAACCTTAGGTGCAGAAGCTAAAATTTTAAAATTGCACAATAAAATTAATGAAATTTCATTTTACAATTAAAAGTATACGTAATATATATTAGAGATAGGTGTAAGATGTTACAGAAAAAAATTCAGATACACAGACTTAATCAGAAAATTATAAAAAAGTCCTTAAGGCCAAGCCACTCTTGGCTCCCCACCTTAAATTTTGATTTAATAAGTTGTTTCACTTTAATAAGTTATTAAATATGTCAAAATGTATTTTGTTTTCTATGTATATGTGCGCTTTCCTTTCATTCAGTTAATGAATTTTTTTAAAATAATATTTTCTCTTGAATATTCTCGCGCCACCCCTCTGGTGTGCTCGAGCCCCCCTAGGAAGGCGCGCCCCACAGGTTGAGAATCGCTGCCATAGAGAGAACATGATAGGATTGTAAAATGTCAGAGGTGCTTATTCTAAACATTATAAGCTTATATAAAGCAATTTTAATATAAACAATATTACAAACCTATATAACGCGAGGAAGCAACATTATTTAACACATTAGTATAGGGCATTAGCCGGAGATTAATCTCCGTATTCGAAGCACGCGTGGCAGAGCCTAACTTATTGTTGATCTTATAGGATGCTGGACGTTCCCTATATGGTGCTTCAACTCCCCCCCCTCAGTAATTTAAATTTTAAACTGAAAACAATTAAAATCTGAGGGAAAAAAACGTTAAAATATGGCAAACAAATTAAAACCATGTAATATTAATAAGCTGATGCTAAGTAATATTTCGAAAGCAAATGCCATTGCAATTAATTGTCCAATTAACTGCAATACTGTTAACTGACAAAATATTTTAGTTTCCATATGTAACTGAAATTCTGCAAATTAAATTAAGCAATTCAATGTTTTATTGAATACTAATTAAAAAAATATAAAATGAAACAATTATTATGTTATCAATTATCAATAAACATTTTTGTCAGAATTGTTATCAAAAATGGGCATGCTACATTTAAGGGTGCCCCTTGATTCTCGCCCAGTAGTGATCGCCATTGATCGCCAAGCTGGGCGATGTTGAAACCCAATTGTGATTCTAATAGGTTTAGATTTCAGCTTTATTTTTAAATGTTCAACAGTCCATGTAATTTCAGAGGTCCGTTAGTTCTATGTTGGATACCGGCTGGTAAGGTTACTTTTGCTTTTGGTCAATAAGATCGAAGGTATGTGGGCAGTCATAAAAAGGGACTATAAAAAAATGTCATCGCCAGTCCGGTACCACGGACGCCATTTTCGATTCGTATTTCACCGAATTCATGTGGCGATGGAGGTACACAGATTCTATTCACGATAAATTTAGACAGTATCTAACTGCTATTAGAGAATTCTGTGCACTTAAATCGGAGGATATTCAAGCTCAATGGAGAAGTGAGTTTTTTTCCCTTTTCTTTCTGTGCTTACTCCATTAATTTTTGTTTCGATTCAAAATTAATTTTTTTGTGTTAATTAATTTTGCTTATAGTAGGTTCATTACAATTTTATTAAGTTTTGGCCGCCATTCCTGTTAGCACAGTGCTCCGCGCAAACAGGAATGGTGCCAAACATAAGTCGCCAATTTCGCCAAGGGGCACCCTCAAGTATATTTTAATCTAAAAAAATAACTTGAAAACAATAAAATTAAAATTATTTACAATAGATTTCTGAATATTCACAAAACCTAGCTATGGACATCTTTCATTGATCTTTCTTTTCACATTATTTTGCGAACCAATGATTTGCACTTTTATGCATTATTTAAGAAATATCTCCAATATGAACTGTTAATTAATATTTCAGGCTGAACAGTTTTTTGATAGTAAGTAAAAAACAATTAAAAGTAAGATTTTCAAGCTCTGTTCAAGGAAGTTCGAAATGAAGAATAAAACAATGAAAAATTATAGACATATGAAAAAGGGTGAGGGGAAAAATAAGTAAAAAAATAACAAACAACAGTTTTAAAAAAAAAGGGCTGAAATTTTATTTAGAAAACCGGAAAAAAAAAGATATAATCTTTTCATCAGCCCACACGATTATATCCGTAAAACAGAGTGCTTTCTGATATTGTATCAATAAAGCCAAAGCAAAATATATTAATAAAATAGTGTGAGAAGCACCCAAAAATTTTTTTTTATAAAAATTACAACAAATAAAATAGAACACAAAAAGTAAAAATAAGTAAAAATATCATGTAAAAACAGAAAATAAAATAAAAGAAAAAGAAAAAACAGTATAAAAATGGACTATAAAGCGAGTGGCGAAATCAGATCAACTTACACGGACGGAAATTTTTCAAGAAATCGCATGTATATATATATATATATATATATATGGGNTTTTTTTAAAGTTTTTATAGTAAAATTCCGTTTCTTTTTATTGATAATGCAAATTTTACGTCACTATATTGTGACCTTGAATTAAATTACCTTATTTGAAAATCCAGATTGTTGAAAGGCATATATATATGCATTTGAATAACTTAACCATTATTATTAATCTTTCTGATGATCTTCTTAAAATAGTAATTATTTATATTTTGGATTTTGCTATCCTATATTACTGTATTTAATATGATGCTAAAAATATTACACATTATAGTTCAAAAATTTATCCTATTAATTTAAATTTCCAACAATGAGTTGAAATCGTTTGCTTAAATTTTTACCAAAATGAATTGTAAAAAATGATGTGTTGGATTGTTATTGATGTAATATTTATTGTAATTAACCATATTTTAGCAAACCATATTTTCTCAAAATACTTTATTTTCTCTTATTTTAGGCCCATATTTTAGCAATCCCTTTTTTTTTTCAGATGGAAGGTTATTTTACACAAATGCAAAAGATAGTAGACAAACGTTTAACTAGCTCTAGGATCCGGTTCATGTTGCAAGATGTCATAGATTTAAAAAGGGTAAGTCATTAAATACCCTATCAAATTGCAACTATAAGTTTAGTTTTAGTTTAAAATTGAGTATTTAAAATTGTTTCTGTCTTTTAGAATGATTGGTTTCCTAGAAGAAATGTAAATAATCCTAAAACTATTGATCAAATTCACAAGGATGCTGAATGTGAAGCACCTGGACAACAACAGAATCTACAGAACATGTCCTTCCAAAAAAAAGTAAAAAGTTTATTGAACTTTAATTTCCCTTTTTTAAGGTATTTAAGTAAATGTTGCAAAATTTTAGTCAACGTCATATGTTCAAAAGTATATAAATTATGAATTTTAATTAAGAATGAAAGCTTGTAAAGGAGTGTTTAAGGTAAAGTCATTTCGTTAAAATGAATAATGCGAGTAGTTCTCAAAAAAGACAGTAGCAGGGTGAATTGATCGAACAAAAACATAAACTCTTCTTTAAAACATAAAGCAAGATATAAAATTTAAAATATGTAAGGAAACAATTTCTAATAATGTGGAGTAAAATATACGATTTTGGATTATTCTTTATTAAATCCATTCACATCCCCCCCCTTAAAAAAACAGTCTAAAATTACTTTTCCAAATAATACTCTGCTGAACATTAGGCCAACCGAATATTGGGCAAAAAGGCCGAATGCTGTATATCCTGTGGCAGAAACGCAGCGACACGGTGACATTGTCGCAGAACGTTACAGAGTTCTGACAGAATAATTTTTCCTTTGAAAAGTGAAAATAATTACTTTTCTTCAGAAGTTTACACGTAATATTACCCACACCACGCTGCCACAAGTACCCGTTCATAGGGTGAACCGCATTCACACAGAAGACAACACAGAGAGAGAAACATCCATGCCCAGAGCGGGATTCGAACCCGCAGCCATTGGCTTCACAGTCAGGCACGCTAATCACTCGGCCACCTGGCCGACTCTTTTGTATAAAGTAGAAATTGGAAAAAAATTGGAAGAAAAAGATCTATTGGAAAAAATCGTGAAACCAGTATTAAAAACCAGTAAAAATGATACCATAATCAGTATCACCATACTGGAAATCTTAAAAGCAGTATGGCGCCATACTGGAAATTTTAAAACAGTATAGCACCATACTGGAAATTTTAAAACCAGTATAACATCATACGGGAAATTTTAAAACCAGTATAGTCTCATACTGGAAAGTGTAAAACCAGTATGGCACTATATCAGAAATTTAAAACCATGGATCATACTGGAAATTTCGATACGAGATATGAAATCGTACTGGAAATTTTTATACCAGTTTTCAAACATACTGGGAGTATTAAAGTACTAGTTTTAAAATATAGCTTCATTCTTAGTAAGTACATATTTTTCTGGAAGTCTAGCTGTTTTGACATTATTAAACTTCGTTTATTTTTTTATTATTTTTTATTATATATTTATTTTAAATAATTAATTTCTTAGATTTTTGTAAGAATTCTTAAATTTATATCTATGGATATATACACTTCACATGGTCTCCTTATTGTGCATGCGAATTTGCATTTGTCAAACATTTCCGAGGCTTATTTAACAAAATTTATTTTGTCGTTTCAAAAGATATGAAAAAAAATTTAAAATTAAGATTTTGACTTATTTTAGTCAGTTTTTGGCTATTCATTACATAATACTTCTAATCCCCAATCAATTTTCGTAAAATCTGAAGAATGTATTTACACTTTTCCAATGTTTCTGCAAAACATTTTTAGTATAGTATTTTATATTCAAATATTATTGTCAATTATTTCTATTATATTAATTATTAAAAAAATTTCTTTAACTGTGAAGAAGTTTAAAAAAAAAACAGTTTATTTGATTTTTATAAACATAATGCAAACTATAGCTTTTGACAAAGAGTGAATTGATGTCAGTGTTTTATTTCCCAGTATAAACCAGGTGACTTTATTTATTTACTCGTATCAATGTTTTATTTTCCCATTCAGAGCAGTTCACTAACCTTCCTGTATCAAACTGTAGTACCTCACTGTACTTGTGTTGAAAATAAATTGTTACACTATCCCGGTCTACTGGGCGCAGCACACTAGTGATAATGGGTTCGATATCATACTGGAATAAATTTGATACCGGCTTATGAAGCACCGGTCGCGGTATCATACTGGTTCCGGTATCGTGCCGGAATGAATTTAATACCGGCATATGAAACACTGGTCCCGGTATGATACTGGTTCTGGTATCATACCGGAATAAATTTATACCGGCTTATGAAACACCGGTTCCGGTATGATACTGGTTCCGGTATCATACAGGGATCAATTTCATACCGGATTATGAAACACCGGTTCTGGTATGGTACTGAGTCCTGTATAATACCGGATCCAGTACCATACGGGAACCGGTGTTTCATAAGCCGGTATAAATTTTTTTATACTGGGAATTTTTTCCAATAGGGTACATTTTTCTGAATTTTAAATTTTTTTCAATTTTCACTCTATAGGTAGTGTCGAGGTAAAATTTAACTAAGTTAATATATACAAGTTTATAATACAAATAATGATGTAAATTTTTTTAATAGGAAAATGAGGAACTTAGAAGAAGTGTCCAAGGAATCCTTAATAAACTCACGCCACAGATGTTTGAAACTCTGTTGACTCAAATCAAAAATCTTAACATCGACACTGAGGAAAAATTGAGCACGGTCATTGATTTAATATTTGAGGAAGCTGTGGCCGAGCCAAACTCCAGTGTCCCCTATGCAAACATCTGCAAGCATTTGGCATTGGTAAGCCAACTAATTTTGAATAAAATGATTATGAAATGTGTTGAGATGTATATTAATTTATCTGTATTTTAAATAGATTAAAGTGCCCACTAAGAATAAGGACTATGTGAATTTCCGTAAAGTTCTCTTAACAAAGTGCCAGAAAGAATTTGAAGAGGGTAGAGGGGATGAATTGAAATACGAGGAAAGGGTTAAGGCTCTGGAAGAAGCTGCTCCAGTGAGTTAAATTACAGCAATAAGCTAGAAAAACTTTTACCCGAGCAGTGGCGGATATTTTTAAGTAGTTTGCAATTAATATCTATATTCATTTAAAATTTGTCCTGTTGTAGGAAGAAAATAAAGAGTTAGAGCAGGAAATGTATGATGAAGATAAGACAATGAGATATAGGCAGCTTGGCAATACAAGGTGATTATTTCATGCACTAAAAAAGTTATAACTTATATATTTATTGTATATTAAAATATCCTTACGAAATCACATATAAATCTCTAATAACTAAAACTATATATAACTTTATTTTATATCTTACTAATTGCTAAAAATAAGAACAAATATTTGTGTTATTTTGTTTAAAAAATTATATTCTTTTTTTTAATATTTGAATTACCATGACTGAAACGTTAAATTTAAATTGATTCATAGTGTTAATGGTGTAACAAGCTGTTTCATTAATGTAGTTTTTTTCTCTTATTGCACATTTGATGATTACATTGTAAAATATCAAAATAATTTAAAATGTTATCTAGTTTTCAGCTATATATTTTTAATAGCTATTAAAATTGATAATATCTGATATTAAGTAAAATGTAGATCTGTGCTGTAGAATCTCGGAGGTGGGCGGCACCAAGCCAGCCTCGCACTTTCGAAAGGTTAAAATTTAAGAAATATTTAAATAAATGGAAATAAAGCAATTTTTTGAATTTCAGTATTCAAGTGAAAGATATATTTAAAGAAAATTTACTTACATTAGATGATTAGAGTACTTTTACTGCATTACACCAAGTTACAATATTCATTATATTACTGCATCAGGTTAATTGTATTTTAAAATAATTGTCTAATGTTTTGTTTAAAAACATTGTTCATATGTCATGAACAATGCTTATATTACGAATTTATTTGACAATTTTTGATTTATATTACGAATTTGTTTGTTTTATTATTAATTTATTCTAAGACGTATACTTATGTTTTTAACAAAGTTGTGAATCGTTCATGGTTATTATTTTTTAAAAAATGATGTTTTGTTTATGCAGGTTTTTCCATTGCAATTCACTTAATTCAATTTTTAATAGACTGAATTATAGCCAAAATTTTAACCTTTTTAAAGAGATATCAGTTTTAGAAATTTTATCTTAAGATTTTATACTATGGCACATTTCTAATAGGTTTAATGAATTACATGTCATTTATTTGAATTCAAATTTATTTTAATGACTTAGTATTTACTAAAAAGATGTAATTTTGTTTAAAAAAAAAGTCGTTATATGGATTTAAATGATTGTTTTGAATTCTTAGAATTTTGTACATTTGCAATGTACCTAGTTAGTAGTGAGCGAAGCGAGCTTGGTTTACGAAGCAAACTATATAAGATTGCGATGCAATTTTCGGGGGTTGGCGAGCGTTAGAAAAAAGGGGGCGCGGCCCACTAGTTCCATATAAATTTTATGCATATAAAAACAAATTTAAAGTATATTACAATTCTCTTTTTCCTTTTTTTTAGATTTATTGGTGAACTCTTTCGCCTTGGAATGTTAACTGAACCTATCATGCATGAATGTATAAAGAGGCTCATCTCCCAAGGAGATGAAGTATCACTTGAGTGTTTGTGTCAATTGCTGAAAACAATAGGTAAAGAATTAGATGATCGAAGAGTTAAAGGTTTAAGAGAAAGAATGGTAAGTGTTCTTTGCTTTCATTTTGATCTGTGCTTTTACTTGTAATAAAATATGAGGAAAAGTATTCTTGTAAATAATATAAATTTAAAAAAACATCTTATCTTCAAATTTTTTTTATTTCAAGAAAAGCTTATTAAACACATGCCTTTAGTTTCATTGAACAACAATAAACCATTATAAAGATTAGTCCTTGTCGATTCTGTATTCTTTGTCGAAAAAATGCATGTATCGGTTTTATCTGATTTAAATTTAAATGTGGAAAAAATGAAAAAAATTGATATTAGCTAGTAACTAGTGAGTCCGAATGAGATATATCAAAACCACTTGAGATTGCCTAATCCTATTTGGAGGGTTTCTAATAATTAGTAGGGATTTATTAGATTTTAATAACATTTTCGTTATCATTTACTTAAATATTAATTTGCAATTTGTATAATGTTTTTTTATTATTCATTATTTGTAAGAATTTTATAAATAAAAGTTCTGTATAGTTTAAAGTATGAAAAATTATTATAATAATACCTCTATGAATTGCAACACAATATGCACATTCAAGTTTGCTTAAAATAAATTTTTAAGAATAATTGCCATACTTTTCTACTGTAATCAATGCTATTGTGAAATACCTCTCTAATAGTACCGAATTTCATATCGGATGTTAAGTTTTATGGTAATTTTCTGTTACTTTTTTTTGATAATGTAAATTATGCTTCATAATATTGTTGCCTAGAATCAAAGTATCGTACTTAAGAACTGAGATAAATGAAAGTTGATATTACTAGAGATAGCTGAGTTTTGCATTTTTAAAAGGTATTTATTTTTTGTTTTTTAAAACAATCGTGATTTTTTCATAAGGTGTTTGCAAAGTGCAATGTCGATTTTTGTTATAAATCTTGCAAAAAGTGTGGTTTTTGCAATGTTCTGTGCAGCATTTTCTCAAATCATTTGACCTCAATCTATTTCGTCCTATTGTTGGCTGAATTACTCGCATGCCACATACTCGATGAAAGATTAGGAAGTATTTTTTGCAATCACATACAACCTACTGCATTTTGTAAGAGACTTTTGATTGCAGGCTTCTTCCGCGCTCTTGAACGGATTCAAAAACCTTTGAAATTTTTGCTCATCATGGGAACCAACTAAGCATTATAAATTTTTCCCCATAGTTCTTTGCCAAGAACTAGTTAATATACGTAGTTAATGTTATGTCTTGGAAATTAATTTTTCATTTTGTTTATTTTTTGCATACCTAAGAATTTTCGACAAAAGAAAAAATTATTTCTTATTCAGATTTTTTTAAGTACTTAAAAATATTTTTNATATACGTAGTTAATGTTATGTCTTGGAAATTAGTTTTTCATTTTGTTTATTTTTTGCATACCTAAGAACTTTCGACAAAAGAAAAAATTATTTCTTAATCAAAATATTTTTTAAGTACTTAAAAATATTTTTTAGTTGTTAAAATATGCTTATTTTAAGTGAAAATTATAGCTTAATTTTAAAATATTTCAGTTTGAGTTTTTTCTTACCTTATTCGACTTAATATGCGTTTGAATAACTTTACAATTAATAAATATCGTTCTGATGATCTTCTCAAAATAGTAATTATTCATATTTTAACATATTTTCTCTTATTTTATACCCATATTTTGGCAATCTCTCTTTTTTAGATGGAAAATTGTTTCTTACAAATACAAAAGATAGTAGACAAACGTTTAACTAGCTCTAGGGTCAGGTTCATGTTACAAGACGTTATAGATTTAAAAAGGGTAAGTCATCAAATACTATGCCCTATCAAACAACTGTACTTTAAGTTTTGTTTGAGGTTTAAAATTTAGCATTTAAATTTGCTGTTGTCTTTTAGAATGATTGGGTTCTACGGGACATGTCCTTCCAAAACAGGGTACCTGATCACCGAGACAGAAGAAAAAATACTGGTGTGTATATGTGACCATACGTCAGATGTGGGGCCAAACACAATCTCGTTCTGCTTTATTTTGTTATTATTTTTTTAAAATTTTGTGTGTGTGTTTTTTTAGCAATTTATTTTACCTAAATTATAGTCAGTGTGACTGAAAACCAATTTTCCTGCGCCTTATTTTCCTTCTTACTTGTTTAGCTCGAAACATGGGAACAACATGGGGGTGGACGTCTTCTACAAAAAGTAGTAAAGGCAGCTATAGTCTTGTTGATCCTAATAAATTAAAACTGTCCAAGGTATGTTCATTTTGTTAATTGTACATAAGTTACATGGTAAATCAAGTGATAATGTTTTTACTTCCACTACCCATGATGTCCTTGGTCAACTGGTGGTTTTCATATTTAGTTAATTCATATTTTGTTACTTATTCTTAAAATCTAATGAATGTATTTTCCCCCCTATCATATCTGATTTGTAGTTGTGTGACAGCTTAGAAATAATTTAGTGATGTGCTGCTTTTAAAATGGCGTTTATGCTTAATCTGTGAATAACTCCATGGTTTTACATATATATATATATATATA